AATAGGAGTTTCCTCTTTGATTCTGGTACAACTGAACGACGGCCCAGCACCAGAGGTGGAAGGCTGTGGGTTGTCTGGGTTTTCCTCACTATTACCCATATTATGGTCATTAGTTTCGGTCAAAACCTCACCAAAACCCTTGAAACTCATCTTCACTGTCACTTCCATCTGTATTAGAACTGTCACTGGGGAACAAAAGTGTCCCAATTCGCCGAGGAGTGAGGAACTTCTTACCGCAGGGCACGGTGGAAATTGTGTACTATGATGGCATTCCCACAATGCACCACTGGGTCCCAGATTTTTTTCCTACTGCGCACACCCACCACACAGACCCATTCTCTCACATCTAGGCTTATCAGCCTTTTCCTGCGAGATTTGAGGCCGCTAGAATTTATGCGTACTAGTACGTCAAAAACCCCTACGCGTAAGACGTACTAGTACGACCAAAACCCTCAAAGGGTTAATGAGTAATGGTGCCTGTGTTTCCTCTTTTTCTGGGTAACCGCACCTTGGTGAGAGATGGTTGTTGTCTTGAAGAAAGAGACTCTTTTGCACTAATACCTGTCTTTTTGCTGCTACAAAAATTCAAAACTCAAATCTAGCTGAGAAGTTTCCCTGAATATTCAGCCTTCATAACTACTGTAGGGCCCCACTTATATAGCAGGTTAGGTTCCTGGCTACTGTAGGGCCCCACTTACATAGCAGGTTAGGTTCCTGGCTACTGTAGGGCCCCACTTATACAGCAGTTGAGGTTCTTGGCTAATGTAGGGCCCTACTTATACAGCAGGTTAGCTTCCTGGCTACTGTAGGGCCCCACTTATACAGCAGTTTATGTTTCTGGCTACTGTAGGGCATCACTTACACAGCAGTTGAGGTTCCTGGCTACTGTAGGGCCCAACTGATACAGCAGTTTAGGTTCCTGGCTACTATAGGGCCCCCACTTATACAGAGGGTTAGGTTATTGGATACTGTAGAGCCCTGCTTACATAGCAGGTTACGTTCCAAGCTACCGGAGGGCCATGCTTATGCAACGGGTTAGGTTCCAGGTTACTGCTGTACAGGAGGTCCCTACTTATACAGCAGGTTAGATTCCAGGCTACTGCTGTATGGGAGGTCCCTGCTTATACAGCAGATTAGGTTCCATTCTACTGCTATACAGGAGGTCATTACTTATACAGCAGGTTAGGTTAAAGGCTACTGCTACACAGAAAGTCCCTGCTTATACAGCACGTTAGGTACTGGGCTACTGCTGTACAGGGGGGCCCTGCATATACAGCAGGTTAGGTTCTGGGCTACTGCTGTACAGGAGGTCCCTGCTTATACAGCAGGTTAGGTCCTGGGCTATTGCTGTACAGGAGGGCCCTGCTTATACAGCAGGTTAGGCCCTGGGCTATTGCTATACAGGAGAGCCCTGCTTATACAGCAGGTTAGGTTCCAGGCTACTGCTGTACAGGAAGTCCCTGCTTATACAGTAGGTTAGGTTAGGTTCCAGGCTACTGCTGTACAGGAGGGCCCTGCTTATACAGTAGGTTAGGTTCTAAGCTACTTTTGTACAGGAAAGCCCTGCTTATACAGCAGGTTAGGTTCCAGGCTACTGCTGTACAGGTACCTGGTTATTCAGCAGGTTAGGTTCTGGGCTACTGCTGTACAGGAGGGTCTTGCTTATACATCAAGTTAGGTTCAGGGCTACTGCTGTACAGGAGGGCCCTGCTTATACAACAGGTTAGGTTCCAGGCTACTGTTGTACAGGAGGGCCCTGCTTATACAGCAGGTTAGGTTCTGGGCTACTACTGTACAGAAAGTCCCTGCTTATACAGCAGGTTAGGTTCTGGGCTACTGCTGTACAGGCCACTACTTATACAGCAGGTTAGGTACTGGGCTACTGCTGTACAGGAGGTCCCTGCTTACACAGCAGGTTAGGTTCGAGGTTACTGCTGTACAGGAGGTCCTGCTTATACAGCAGATTAGGTTCTGGGCTACTGCTGTACTGGAGGCCCTGCTTATACAGCAGGTTAGGTTCTGGGCAACTGTTGTACAGGAGGTCCCTGCTTCTAAACAGGTTAGATTCAGCTGAAGTACTAGTGTGATTCCTTTGTTCTTGGGTATTACCATTTTGAGTATTACTATAACATTCAAGTCTCCCTCCATACACACAGCAACAGTCAACACCACACCAGAGAAAACAAGCAGTTATATACAGAAAAACCAGAACACTGCCTGAACAACTGTTACTCAACACTAACATTGCTAATGAATGACCTTACCTCAGTGGAAGACCAAATATGAAATATGTTCAGGGAGAATTTTATATTATTCATGAATTTTAGATTTCATTGCATTAATGGTATACAATACTTGAACATTAATGAATAAGATACATGTGCAACAATTGCATATTGCACATTATTAAAGATCAACAATTCTTTATTTAACCCTTTCACTGTCGAGACCTGTGATCCTAAACTCACTCTCAGTGTCAAAAAATATTCGAAAAGTTAAAAATTATTTTTTCTTACCAAAATCTTCAGAATATTTTTCTGTGTTAAAAAAAAAAATTCAGTCAGTACTTACCGAGATATAGAGGCGGGAAGTTGACAAAGTGTACTTCTTACGGCAACATCGGTGACTGCCGCTCACTTGGTAATATTACTTTTACTTTTATTCTATTTTTTTATTATTTTTTCAAGTAACTTTTGTGGCCTGTGAGACCAATATACTGTGTAATGTATATATATCCACTTGTTGTATGCAACACAATAACTGCACAAATATTAATAACATTACATTGTTTACAAAACCTGTTGACACAAACCAACAATAAGAAAAGTTGTTTATTACTACTGTTCTATAATATCTATACGCATAAATAGTCACTGGACATGTTCCTAGAACTGCTACAGCTTGTGGAAGGTTGTTGTGTGTGGGTGGCCTTTGTTGTGGATGTGCTGAGAGCGGCATGGCTGGTGTCACAATGATGCATTACACAACCACCACCACCAACCATTACCCACACTGTCTTCCCCAACAAGCATATTGTCTTCTCTGCCACCCACATGGAAATAAGTCAATTTGTCTGACTTTTTTGGGTTATCCTAGGTTGATGGTAGTCTGGGTTTTCAGCACTATTTCTGGTATCCTGGGCATTGCTTTCGGTCACAAACTCCTCAAAACTATGAAATTCATCTTCAATGACACTTCCATCTGTGTTAGAACTATCACTTGGGAAGAGTCCCAATTCGCCAGGGAGTGAGACATTTTTTACCGTGAGGCATAACAAACAAGGATTACTGAAATGGTGTTCCCACAATGCAATGCGGGTGCCCCGATTTTTTTTATACTGTGTACACTGACCACACAGACCCATTCTCTCACATGCAGGCCTACCAGCTTTCTCCTGCTAGATGTGAAGCCGCTAGAATTTTGGCGTAGTACTATGGCACCAACAGTAGCTTGTAAGCCGTAGTACTACGTCACCAACAGTGAAAGAGTTAAGCATGATACAATGTGTGTGTACTGAGGTGGGTGACATTTAGTTATGCATGCAGAAAGTCCTTTAGTATGGAGAGCATTTTGGGCAAACTTAAGCCTATGTTAAGACTAATAAGCCAATAATTGACTGTTTATGTATACAGTCTCTGAGCGATTGAAACAATAAATTTAGTAATTACAATATTTTCATCAAGTTTAACTGTTTTAAGGATTATCGATGAATTATGGATTCAGAGACCATCATAAAGGTCGACTGGGGCTTGACCGTACCTAACAGAGCCATGGACATCAGGAAATAATTATACAAAGCCAAGATTACTGCAATGAAGTGCAATGAACCAACCAGACACACTATACAAGCTGATTCCAAACACACTAAAACACATTAAAAATAACTCATTTGAGTTCAATATTGGTAAGAGGTCGACTCAGGAGTTGCTTACTTCATGCAAACTTGGGTGTATATTGCCATAACAAAGAATATAAATCGGTGACAAAGCCTTAGTGAGAATAATTCATAGAGCAAAAGACGAACATAAGACAAGTAATAGTGTGTGCAACTGGTATGATGACAGTGATAAAGGTGAGAGTGTAACTGGTATGGTGATATTGATAAAAGTAACAGAGTGTAACTAGTATGGTGATACTGATAAAAGTAACAGAGTGTAACTAGTATGGTGATACTGATAAATGTAACAGAGTGTAACTAGTATGGTGATACTGATAAATTGCAAGTACAGTACAAAGACAAGTATGCACTGATCAAGACACTGAGACAATGGTTCACCACCAGCAACTTCTTTATCCCTGAAGAAGTCACCTGTGGTGAAATGTTGCCTTAAAAAACAAAAAACATTGTCATCAGTGAATGCTTGACTCTTACTCTGAAACACAAAAGGAAATTTGAAATCATGTGAATAAAGTTAATTTGAAATTATGTGAATGAAGTTAATTTGCAACCATCTTCATGTGAATGAAGATAATCTGCAATTATCTTCATATTAATGAAGTTAATTTGAAATCATGTGAACAAAGTTAGTTTGAAACCATCTTCATGTGAATGAAGTTAATTTGCAATCATCTTCATGTGAAGTCAATTCAAAACTTTGTGCACCTATATCACAAATTTGATACAGTATTGCTAAACCATTACCAAGCACAGTTAGTCCTCGACTTACACACTGGGGACCTCCTGAATTGTGTATAATATTCACAATACAAGAGGTCTTCAACTTACGAATATATTGGGGACCTCCTGTATTGTGTACAATAATATATAATAATGACATTACACACGATACAATAATAAAGATTCTCGATGTGTTTGAAGTCGAAGGCTTACTGTACATGGCAGAAAAGCAAAATACTGCATTCCACTGTGAGATATCAGTAATTTTACTGACGAGGGCAGCTAATGCCACATGCAAATTATACAAGCAAGGTCAGGGTGCCTCCCAGAGTGGTCATTATGGTCTGGGATCAAGCACAAACCACTCACAAACATCGCTAACCTTTTCCCACTGTTCCAGCTCCCGGGACGACATATAGATGAAATCTCCCACTGGTGTCCCCTGTACCACCATTGATAAAAAATGTCCGGAAATTAGATTCAATGTGAAAACTATAAGCAATGATAATGATGTTAAAATATTAATAAAAATCAATGCATTAGATATTTTCCACTAGGGCAGAGTGACCAGACTTACTGGGTCACACTGGTTGTGTCTTACCAAGACAGAGTGACCAGACTTACTGGGTCACATTGGTTGTGTCTTACCAAGACAGAGTGACCAGATTTACTGGGTCACACTGGTTGTGTCTTACCAAGACAGAGTGACCAGATTTACTGGGTCACACTGGTTGTGTCTTACCAAGACAGAGTGACCAGACTTACTGGGTCACACTGGTTGTGTCTTACCAAGACAGTGACCAGAATTACTGGGTCACACTAGTTGTGTCTTACCAAGACAAAGTGACCAGACTTACTGGGTCATACTGGTTGTGTCTTACCAAGACAGGGTAACCAGACTTACTGGGTCATACTGGTTGTGTCTTACCAAGACAGAGTGACCAGACTTACTGGGTCACACTGGTTGTGTCTTACCAAGACAGAGTGACCAGACTTACTGGGTCACACTGGTTGTGTCTTACCAAGACAAAGTGACTAGACTTACTGGGTCACAGTGAATATCTATATTCAGACCACACTATATTATGAACAGTTGGTCACAGTAAGTGTTGTACAGCATCTGAACTACTGTACAGTGCCAAGGTCTCGCACTCGTCATCAAAAGCAAGTGAAGCTGGTACAAAGAATACATCTTTTTCATACACTTGTATTTTAAGATGAATTAATTAATTCTCTCAACAAAAATAACCCGCACACAAGAGAAACAAACTTATGACGGTATTTCAGTCCAACTTGAACCAAAACGTCACCATGAGTTTCTGTTTTCCATGTGCAGGTTATTAGTTTATAGTTCCAGTCTCGGTATTGGGACTTTTTGTTCTTTAATTCGAAAGCTAATGTACAAGATTTAACCTGTCAACGGTCCAAACCTATATATACGTTTTTTCAACATTTGAAAGTATGTAAAAAAAGTAGATCTTCTTTTAGTTTTTTTTACACTTGAAAATGTGTAAAAAAACTTTGATCTAGTTTTTTTTTTTGTTATATTTGAAAATATGTAAAAAAAACGTAGATCTACTTTTGTAGCACTACACATGTGAACGTAGATCTGCTTGGACCATTTACGGGTTAAGCAAAGCAATACAATGATCAAATTAAAATTTTTGTTTCAAAATAAACTATATTGTATTTTTGATATATGCTACAACCAACTATATATTAATAATACTGTATCTATATTAACCACTGGCTTATAGATTTTTTTTTTTAAACTGGATGTCTCCCTCCTAGGCAGGGTGACCCTAAGAAAAGAAACATTTTCATCATCATTCACACATATCACTGTCTTTACAGAGGAATGAAGATATGACAGTTTATATGTCACTCTAAACTGTCAATATCCCAAACCCCTCCTTCAGAGTGCCAGCACTGTACAGTGGTACCCCGAAATTCAGCCATAATTCCTTCCAGAAGGCTGTTTGAGTGCCGTTAATGAACGAATTTGTTTCCATAAGGAATAATGTAAATTAGATAAATCTGTTTCACACCCGCACAAAATACACATACAAAAGCACTTATAATAATACACTTACATAATTATTAGAGTAGGTAAACTGAAAGGGGGTAAAGCAGCTGGGAGTGATGGGATAAAGATAGAAATGTTAAAAGCAGGTGGGGATATAGTTTTGGAGTGGTTGGTGCAATTATTTAATAAATGTATGGAAGAGGGTAAGGTACCTAGGGATTGGCAGAGAGCATGCATAGTTCCTTTGTATAAAGGCAAAGGGGATAAAAGAGAGTGCAAAAATTATAGGGGGATAAGTCTGCTGAGTATACCTGGAAAAGTGTATGGTGGAGTTATTATTGAAAAAATTAAGAGTAAGACGGAGAATAGGATAGCAGATGAACAAGGAGGCTTTAGGAAAGGTAGGGGGTGTGTGGACCAGGTGTTTACAGTGAAACATAAGTGAACAGTATTTAGATAAGGCTAAAGAGTTTTTTGTGGCATTTATGGATTTGGAAAAGGCATATGACAGGGTGGATAGGGGGGCAATGTGGCAGATGTTGCAGGTGTATGGTATAGGAGGTAGGTTACTGAAAGCAGTGAAGAGTTTTTACAAGGATAGTGAGGCTCAAGTTAGAGTATGTAGGAAAGAGGGAGATTATTTCCCAGTAAAAGTAGGCCTTAGACAAGGATGTTTGATGTCACCATGGTTGTTTAATATATTTATAGATGGGGTTGTATGAGGCAAGAGGCGTGGAGTTAAAAGATAAAGAATCACACATAAAGTGGGAGTTGTCACAGTTGCTCTTTGCTGATGACACTGTGCTCTTGGGAGATTCTGAAGAGAAGTTGCAGAGGTTGGTGGATGAATTTGGTAGGGTATGCAAAAGAAGAAAATTAAAAGTGAATACAGGAAAGAGTAAGGTTATGAGGATAACAAAAAGATTAGGTGGAAATAAATGGTATAAAATACCGACACAATGGAAATATAAACACATATGCAGTATAATGTGATCCTTTATTGACAACGTTTCGCCCACACAGTGGGCTTTTTCAAGTCACAAACAGATCTACCTGGGGTGGAAGGTATGCGAGTATTTATAGTCAGGTTCAGAATGCTGAGGTCAGGTGGAGAATGCTGCATCTGATGATGTACCGAGTGGGGTTATAGAGTCTAAAATCTTGGGTAGCTTGGAAGGGAGATTGGATAAGTTTGTGAGCAGACCTTCTACAGTGTTCTTATGTGGGATAGTGATGAAGAAGTTTCTTCGCAAGTGGTTCAGCTATGTTATAGAAGCCACTATTCTGGTTGAAGTTGTCGGATATAGAATAAGTGATGATTCCAGGATTCTTCGGTACTGAGTGTTGTCGTCTGTGGCGATAAGTCTTGAGTTTCTGTAGTTTATCAAGTGGTTGTGTGAATTACGGTGTTGTACACAGGCATTCCTTGTATCGTCAGACCCGCTTGTGTATTGGTGTTCTGAAATACGTGTTTGGAGGTCCCTTGATGTTTCGCCCACGTATAATTTGTTGCAGTCATTACAAGGGATTATGTATACCCCTGCAGAGGGTGGAGCTTGTCCTGTCTATCACTGGTAATGTCCTTGATGGTCGTGATTGTGGAGGTAGATACTTGGAATGAGGTATTGGAAAAGATGTTGGAAACGTGTTTGGCAATGGAGTTGGTGGGGAGGACTATGTATCTCTTCTCAGCAGTGTCTTCTCTGGGTGTGTTGAAGATGTTTAATGCCCGTCGTCTGCAGTCTCTGATGAAGTGACGAGGATAGTGGAGTTTAGAAAATACGTACTTATTCAATTATAGTGCATTCTTCCTCAAGAAACTCATTGCTGCAGATTCTGAGTGCACGCAGGAAGAAGTCTATAATTACACCACGTTTAGTTTTGGTGTTGTGGTGAGAGTAGAAGTGGAGAAGATCGTTTTGGTTGGTGGGTTTTCGATAGACTTTAAAACGAAGTTCGTGGTCAGCTTTGCAAAGAACATCAAGGAAAGCAAGAGCGTTGTTGACTTCTTCTTCTTCTTCAAGGGTGAACTGGATTGAAGACTCGACCTGGTTGAGTTTGTCATGGAGAGCTTGAACATTGAAGCATCTAGGAGTTATGAGGAGAATGTCGTCAACATAACGGAGCCAGGTGACAGATGAAGGAATAATGGTGGAGAAACATTCGGCTTCTAGATGTTCCATGTATAGGTTCACCAGGACTGCACTGAGTGGTGAACCCATGGGTAGTCCAAAAGTCTGCTGAAAGAGGTGATTTTCGAAAGAGAAACACGTAAAGCCAACACATAGTTCAACAAGGTCGATGAAATCGCTGGCTGGAATAGGAAGATCAAGTGAATCGTCAATTTTCCTGCGCAAGAGATCGATGGCTTGTGTAGTAGGTACTTTGGTGAATAGGGAAGTCACGTCAAGGCTGGAAAGTTTCTTGTTCCTGATGTTGATGTTGCGAATGCGATTGAGAAGATCACCCGAGTGTTTGAGATGTGCTGGACTGATAGTGCCCAAGAGTTTAGAGAGGTGTTTTGCGAGAATTCCTGAGAGCTGGTGGGGAGCACTGCCTATTCCCGAGGATATGGGCCTCAGTGGGATACCAGGCTTGTGAGTTTTTGGCAGGCCATACATTCTGGAGAGCGAAACGTTGCCACAATAAAATGTCACATTAGTTGCACTTGTGTCCTTTTACTTTACATATTGTCGGTAATTCTACCAACTTTATTACAGGTCTGGGGTTGCTGGGTATGGTGTGCAGAAGTTTCTTCCCTTGTTCTGAGTTCCTCAGAATGCGGCGAGTCCTTTGAAGAAAAGTTTTAGTAAGGTTGTCCACTTGGTTAGCTGTGAGAGGTTTGTAGGTATCTGGGTCATTAAGTAGATCGAGCATTTTGTTCCTGTAATCGTCAGTGTGTGACTTATACACACTGACAATAAGTACCATGCTCTCTCTGCATGTATGTACGTATGTAATATTTCAAATGGTTGAAATTCTATGGGACGAGCAGAAAACACACTTTTTCCTAACTATGTCTGTCTTAATGTGTGTGTGTGTGTGTTAGCTACCATTTTGTCCTAGGCACATGTCGATTAGACACTAGGCCTGTTGTATATGTGTGTATATGTATATGCATGTGTTAGTTACCATTTGGTCCTAGGCACATGTCGATTAGACACTTGACCTGTTCTATGTGCATGCAAGTGTGTGTATGTGTGTGTGTGTGTGTGTGTGTGTGTTAGTTACCATTTGGTGTGTGTGTGTGTGTGTGTGTGTGTGTGTGTTTGTGTGTGTGTGTTTATGAGAGTGAGTGTTTGTGTGTGTAGAGGTGGGAAGTCTTGCCTTGTTTAGTACACTGTGTGTGTGTGTGTGTGTGTGTGTGTGTGTGTGTGTGTGTGTGTGTGTGTGTGTGTGTGTGTGTGTGTGTGTGT